CACACACACACACACACACACACACACACACACACACACACACACACACACACAGTCTGTCGAGGTTCTACCTCCTGACTAACTCGGCCCTTTCTTGGCCAGGGCCTCTGACCCTGAAGAAAAACGAGAAAACAAAAGACAAACCAGAAACAAAAGAAAAACGAGAAAACAGAGAATTAGTGACCCATAACTGTGATGCACAGAGTGCCACAGACCTGTATTTGAATTCAGACTATATATTCTCGGCCCACACAGGCTGTCTACAAGTCTAATGTCCATCTCTGCTCCACGAGGGTTCCTTGCTAATCCGTAGGGGCCCTTCCGAAATGAGAATGGACAAATAGATTGGAGCATTTGTAAAAATAAAAAAAAATAAAAAAAAACGACATGCACACACATGTGAGCACAGTGTTGGGGGATGGGGTGGCCCCAACTTTTTTCCCTCTTGCAGTTTGATTTTCGGGAGGGAGGGGCATTTTTCGCCACCCCACCCTGTTAATAGGGGTCAATTTTTTCTTTTTTCCTGTTTTTAGTGTTTCGGCGCGTAGGGCCACGTGTCCGAGGCCTAACGCACCCATCCTGTTTTTTCAGATTCAATGGGAGACCCCCATTTTTCCGTTAAAAGGGGTTCAACGGGGCCCCTGAAGCAATTCAACGGGGATCAACGGAATTTGAAGGGTCCCCGTTGCCCGTTGTTCGGACACACAGCTGGCCTCTGATGTGAGCTATGGTACCACAGCTTGTTGTGGGGTTCCTTACCACGATGCACTATGTGTACATTAACACACACACACCACAACGATGCACTATGTGTACATTAACACACACACACACACACACACACACACACACACACACATGCGCACACACAGACCCATGAATGCACGAGCACATGCGCACACCCACCCACACACACAGTGGGCTTTATGACTGTGTCAGATTAGTTTCTCAGACTTACTGTCGTGCTTGTCCGGGGTTTGGACCGACAGTCTGCTAGGATTGCAGGGTTGGTGTGAGTACAGTCGACCACTTTTCTCAGGGCTATTTCTAACTCTGGGCGATGCGGTGAGTCCTTATCCATCAGTAAAATGCATCTTGGGCAGACCGCCAGGGGTTCAACGTCCTGATGAGTCAGTGAAAGTCCTACGAAACAGTCTGGCGCAGTCATGCTTTTTTTTAAGTTTATAGCAAATATGACAACACACACACACACACACACACACACACACACACAATATTTGTGCAAGTATGCCTCTTCGGCGGCAGACGGGTGTGGGCACTTCCTGCCCAACCACACAAACGTGGGAACCTTTTACCTTCTATTACATTGCTCATCTATAATTTTTTTTGTTTATGGATGGTTTGTGATGGTATGATGACGGAATGAGAGAGTTTGGGGATGTTGACTAACACAAACACACACACACACACACCCAATATTTGTGCAAGTATGCCGCTTCGGCGGCAGACGGGTGTGGGCACTTCCTGCCCAACCACACAAACGTGGGAACCTTGCACCTTCTATTATATTGCTCATCTATACTTTTTTTTGTTTATGGATGGTTTGTGATGGTATGATGACGGAATGAGAGAGGGAGAGTTTGGGGATGTTGACAAACACACGCACACACACACACACACACACACACACACACACACACACACACACACACACACACACACACGCGCGCGCGCGCGCGCGCGCGCGTGGGGTTGCGAACGCACATGAAAAACGCAAGAACAACGCGCACAAACAAACAACAGTCTGGCACAGTCATGCTTTTTTTGAGTTTATACTTTATAGCGAATATGACAACACATGCGCACACACACACACACACACACACACACACACACACACACACACACACACACACACACACACACACACACAGTTGCAAATGCACATGAAAACATCGCACGCAAACAAACAATGCAGGAGCCAAACCACAGGGATAGAAAGCAGGCTTGAAGCCCAGATCATAACACAGAGCAGATTTACGCGTGCGAGCAGCAGTTTCATGCAAGAATGGCCAGTCCACCCGAATCAGAGACTTAATACGGCCCACATTTGTTACATGCTCTTTGAGTTGTCTCAGGCAAATCAGCCTTTGGCTAGCATTTGCAAAATTCTCAAAGCTGCTCAGGGTTTCCCATCATTGCTGCTGTAGCATCAAACTGTAGACAGCACAAGTTATCACAGATGAAATCGCAGAGTCCCAAGCATCCTACAAGCCGCAGTTCGCTTACCATCTTTATCAAAGCTGAGGATGTCACGACAGGAAGTGAGAGAAGCTGAAGCAAAGCCTCGCACCGCTTCTTGTACTGCAGCCACACCAAGAAGAAACATGCAAGACAACACACCAAGAGAACACAATCAGTCTGTCCGATTATCCATCCCCACATTAATCACACACACCAATCTTTTGTTTCGCCCGTGAAGAGGCGACACTGAGTCCACCAAGCAAAGCCTCGCACCTCTTCTTGTACTGCAGCCACACCATGATCATTTTTCGTTCCAGGCCAGTGTTGCGTACCCCGACGATCGGCGCCCCTTGGCTGGCCGGATGTCGACCAGCCGACCGGTCGGCTGGTCGACACCTACCGTGTACGTGTCATCGAACTCCACAATCCCCAAACCATCCCCCAACACCCTCATCTTGTACTGTAGCCACACCATGATCATTTTTCGTTCCAGGCCAGTGTTGCGTACCCCGACGATCGGCGCCCCTTGGCTGGCCGGATGTCGACCAGCCGACCGGTCGGCTGGTCGACACCTACCGTGTACGTGTCATCGAACTCCACAATCCCCAAACCATCCCCCAACACCCTCATCCCCCCCCAAAAAAATATCCCCTACACCACCCTTAGACCCCCCATACCCCCCCTAGACCCCCATACCCCCCCTCTACACACCCCCCCAACCCCCAATCCCCAAAAGTTTCTCAGCATATTTGGGCTGTACTCAGCACGCGCAGTACAGCCCCCAACTCAGATTTGGAAAAAAGCAGTGGATGGTTGTTCTCTGGCTGATCAACGCCGACCGATCGGCTGCAAGACGGTCGGCGGTTGGGGTCAGGGTCGCGGTCGGTGGTCGGCAGGCATGCAACCCCCTGTTCCAGGCCACATAGTGGCAAGACACGACATGCAAACAACAGTTATATGCGCAGCATCTGAGGTGTACCATCTGATAGAATGTGGATTCGAACTTGAGTCTGTATTTCAACAGTTCATGGGTGTAGCGTCTGAGGGAGGCCCGTTGGTTTGTCTGCGGTTTTCCGTTTCCTCGCACTCTCTGACACATCTTCCCCGTTTCAGAGAATTTTTCCTCACACTCTCTCACACATCTTCGGCACACTTTCCCCTTTCCGAAAGCATTTCCTCGCGCTCTCTCACACATTTTAAGCACTATATGATGTTTGCTCTAACGCATATCTACGGCTTCCCACAATCCACACCTCCACAATTGGCGACACCAGGTGCCATCAAAACATAGCGTTTCAGAATGAATCTCGACCGCCCATCATACCACGATCAATAGATTGAGAAAGGTCCGTAACCACCAGGGTCGGAGTACGCAGCCGGTAAACTTTAACAGTTTGTCTTAGATAATCAATCATTAGCCGTCTTCTATATATAAGACGTTACCATGAACAAAGACACTTGTTCGACACGCAGTAACCACACACATACAAGCTCACCATCAGAGGAACGGATGCGTGAACTTTTCAGATGCACAAACTGTTGTGGGGACAATAGATTAGGGACGCTGGACGCGGTTTCCAGCACAAGCCAACCTGGGTAATGGCCCCAGCATTGTCTGGGTTGAGTTGTTGAGGAATTCCCGGCCCCATTGATTGTTCATTCATATAATAAAACTGCAGCTTTCTTTACTTAAAGAAAGAAAAAAAAGGATGGTCGGCTCGTAGTTCTCCGGTTGGGTTTAGGCCAGTCTGCATAAGGCAACTGAAGCACTTACCCCCGCAAAAAGCTCGGACGGCGGGGTGGGCGGAAAATGTGCCAATGCCTCTGGGCAGGCATTTCCTTGCCAAGCGCAGAGATCTTTGTGCCCTGTCTCTAGCTGCTGCGAAAACGACTCCGCCGCTCGCTCCACTGCTCACAATCGATGATGCCCAGACCGACAGCAACATTTATTTGTCAATGGTCGAGCTTTCATCTCGGAACAAATGTACAGATATAGCAAGGCATTCATGCAATCGATACAAGACGCACTTAATTTCTTCGTTCTTGGCGACGCTATGCTACCATGCCATCCAGCTCAGCTCATCGATCAGCTCACCCTTGCACATCTAGTCATTCCATACATCGGAAAACCCATAAGGGGACAAAATAGCACCGGAAAGCTCGAACCCAGGCCAGGGAGTTTGATTGCCCTGCTCACAGCAATGATGACCAGGTGATCGATAGAACAAAACTCGAGCCTGGTTGGATGCAAACCAAGCACTTTCTGGAGCTTGGCAGATCTCTGCTGCATCTGGTGTGACATCAACTCTCCACCACTGAGAATTTCTAGTGCAGAGTGTCTTATAGGCTCCACCAGGGGGATATTTGAAAGATGTGGATTGAAATGAAAGCCCTGCTGTTATAAACCAATCACTCCCAAGGCACACGTTTTTGGTGGGACAAACCCCCCAATCCGAATTAAACCACTGGTCCCCCCAACGTCGAAAAATTGGGGGGACCAGTAGCACAGGCCAATGAGGGCTCCCAGTAGGGCAGCGTGGAGAACCGACTCACTGGCAAAAGTGGAAAATGTGTCAAATCGCCGCCACGATTTATTTCGCGGTTGAAACCTCCTTTTTTTTTTCATTGATCAGATTGACGCTTGGGAATTGCGTGACTGGACCCACTGCTGCCTGTCGGTCGACGCACCCCCGCCAACTGCGGGCCTAACTCGCCGGAAGGTTCATTTCCGACTAGCGGGGGGTCTGGTGGTTTAACTGTTATTTGTTACCACTCCACGGATTAGGCCGCGATAGATAATCAAACTCTAGCTGGCACATGCAAGTCCAGTTCAAGACCTTTGGGAGAAAAACAATGTCAATGGCTCATGCTTGTCTTGCCACCTTGAGGATGACACACTGCAGAGTATATTACAAGTGCGCGTACGCAGAAGGAGCGAACGAGAAACAGAGAAAAGTGTAGACAAAAATGAAGCAAATGATGACACCCTCTTTCCATACTTTTCCCCCCTCCCTTTCACTTTTTGCTTTTTTTCCCACATAACACAGATGCCCCATGTATTCTGGGGGGTGCCTGTCCGGTTACTTGTCACCGATTCACCGGCACCGGCAAGCAAAATGTACAAGACTTTATCATCATTGACGTGGCCGCCCCAGGAGACTCGGAACGACCTTATTCTGTTCATCTGATAGCATTTGGATTTGAACTCGGGTCTGTCTGTATTTGAAGTTTAAACAGTTCATGGGTGTACCAACTGAGCTAGGCCCACTGGTAAAATGTACAAGACTTGGAGAGCAAGGAGGAGAAAGTAGAGATAGGCTAGAACAGGCAGACAAAGGGCCAGTTTTTATCTTTCACCTTCCTTTTTTTTTTTTTCCTTTCCTGTACTCTATCCTCTTTTTTTTGCATATGCGCTTCTTTTGTGCATCTTTTATTTTCACGAGAAAAAAAAAACAGGGCCTCCTTTCTGTTCTGCGGGAGAGCTATCCAGAACCATTTACACCTCTTCTTTTTCTTCTTTTTTTGTTGTTGTTGAAAGGGAGACAGCCTTGAGATATCATAATTTTTAAAACCGGCCCCAGGTAATTCAAAAAACGATTGTTGTGCTCATCTGATTGCACCTGGATTCGAAGTTGGCTCTGTACTTCAACAGTTCATGGGTGTACCTCTTTTCACTTTTTGCAGGGAGGAAATTTCCCATGATTGTGCGGTAATCGAGTGGGAAGGGCCATCCATGCCCATGCACCTGTCTGCTTGCGTGGACCACCAGAGGTCCAGTACTTGTGGGAAAGTTTCAGAGATGTGGCCGTGCACACGCCGCATCCTTTGGCATGTCCCGGCCTGCCACGCAGCGGCAACTACATCCAAACCGACATGCGGGCGGCCCTGTTTTGTCCGGACGAACAACCCGCAGGTAGGCAGGCCGGTACACCCTCAAGGACACAGGTGTGGTGTTGTCGCGTCAAAGAAATAGTTAGGCTGTCGCGTCAAAGAAATAGTTAGGCCTACCAGTTTTCCCGTACCGCCCCTACCGGAAGTATAGTACAGGCCCACTGGTAGGGTAACATGGTACAGGGGGATATTGGAACTTGGGTGCCGGGACCAAACTCTGAGATGCGTGCATCCTTTCACCTCCTGCTGTATAGGTTAATACTGCAATTCTATGAAAGAAAAAAAAAAGAAAAAAGGTAATGAATTCAGACCTTGTTGGCGTGGCCATGTTGGAGGGACAACAAAGGAGATCCGTGTCTGGCACACCTCACACATGAGAAGGTCACTATCTACATTTGTCCAACCACGCCGCGCACAGGCAACTGGGCCAGCTACCTGCATGAACAAACAAGTAGAAGATCCAAGAAGCAAAAGCAGTAAAACACCAGTGAGACAATTCCTCAACGTTTTACCAAGGAAAGAGCAGAGGTAAACCTCATACCAGAGCAGGGAGAGACGCAGACAAACAGACAGAGAGAGAGAGAGAGAGAGAGAGAGAGAGAGAGAGAGAGAGAGAGAGAGAGAGTGATGCTTGCCTGGGGTGAAACCGCCAGCAATGCAAGTTCCAAAGTCCACCAAAACGAGGAAGAGATGCAAAATGGCAAAGCGGAAGACACAAACCAGATAGGAATGTCTAATGATGGAGCAAAAGGACAATATGGGTCAGATCTGCTCTGACATCGAGCGGGGAGGGGTCCAAACATAGAAGAACCTCCCAGCTGAAATCCTACACAGACGAAGGTGGAGGGGGATGGTGAACAAAGAAGAAGAAACAGAAGACCCGATGTATGGAAGAGCCAAATATAGTAATATTCTGTCCCCGGCCTCTCTCCACGGAGAGGTTGTGCGGCCAAGCCCTGGCCACGTTTCAAAAACAAGCTGGCCCACCTGGAGGAAAAAGAGGGGCCACAGCGGAAAGGAGGGAGAGAACGAGGTAATACAGGAAGAATACAAAGATTCCAAGAGGAGGGAAAAGGTGGCAAGCAGGGGCACAACCAAACAGGGAGGCTACCACTTCCACCGGAGAAGAGCACGAACAAGTACACACTACACTCAGCAGACGGGAGGGAGGCTTCCTTGGAGTCTGGCAGGGAATGCTGAAGCTTCTTGCGCGCGTCTAGCGAGCCTGCTGGAAACATGAGGGAAAGGAAAAGATGGTGAGCAGGGGAACCAACCAAACAAGATATAACTTCCACCAGAGAAGAGCACGAACAAGTACACACTACACTCAGCAGACGGGACACAAGCTTCGTTGGAGTATGGCAGGGAATGCTGGCGCTTCGCGCACGCATCTAGCCAGCCTGCTGGAATCAGGAGGGAACAAAGAGGCTATAACTTCCACCAGAGAAAAGGACAAGCAAGTACACACTACACTCAGACGGGAAGGAGGCTTCGTTGGGGTAAAGTCCAAGGAACATTCCCTTTTTGTTCCATGAAGTGCTGCTGATACCCGCTTTGATTCGGGGGAAAGATTGAAAAAGGCGCAATGGTTTCGGGAGATTCGGGGGGAAAAGAGGGCGGCGGGGTTTGCAAGAAAAGGGAAAAACTTGACAAACCTGAGGTTTCCCGAACCAGGTGCTGGATTTGAAAGTTCCAAGGCGTCTGAGGAGATCTCCACGGTCCCATGGGCGGCACTGAGGGGCTGCTGATGTGGGACTGCCTGGGGCAACGTCGACATTGGCACTGGCATCTGTGCGTGACACCGCGGCGGCAGAGCGCCGTGGCCCCGCCATCCAAGGCGTCAAAGCCTGTGCCGGTGTCGGTGACGTAGTTGTCGGACCCGCAGCACTGAATATACAAAAAACATCAAAATGCCAGCACAACGGTATTACCTCTCCTCTTTTTCTAAGGCAAAAAAAAAGAGGAAGAAAAGAAACAAAAAGTAAAACAGCGCCTCATAGCTCTGACTCCATATCCATTCTGGGGAGCATCAGTTCGGCCCCTATTCCAACGGCAAGTCAAAACATGCATCATGGGATGGAAGACCCACTTCAATGCTTCTCCACATTATGGCCGGGAGACCCGAGGGGGCGGCATTGATTCCCTTGGCCTCTCTTTTTTTTTATTCTATTTTTTTATTTTTATTTTGTTTGTTTTTTCAATTTATTCTCCCCTTGTTCTTATTTTCCTTTCTTCATCATTTTTACCCGACCAACATATCGTCACATCACTCTACATTCGAACGAGTTCAAGCCTTGACCACAGTTAGGGACAGAGATGTTAGGATTACAGGGGAGCATTACCAGCAGGTCATGAAAAACAGGACGGTCACAACACTCTACATGCATGCATTTGAACGCTTTCTTGACCAGGTGCATTCAAACGAATTCATCCCTCGACCGCAGTTAGGGATAGAGATGCTAAGATTACGGGGGAGCATTAGCAACAGGTCGTGAAAACGGGACGTTCACAACACTCCACATGCATCCATTTGAACGCTTTCTCGACCAGGTGCATTGGAACGGGTTCAGGCCTCATCAGGGGGGCAGAGTTCCTTCGAGCACATCGCTCACATCGATACATGGATTTCTTTTTTTTTTCTTTGCCCGCGCATTTCCTCTGCATGAATGAATAATGGGGCCTCGCTCCACTATACAACAACACTACATGCATTTGAACGCTTTCTTGACCAGGTGCATTCGGATGAGTTCACCTCTTTTGAATGTATCGGGTCCAGAAAGCGTCCAAATGCATGTTTCATTTCTGCCCTGTCATAATCCGCATCATCTGCTTCGTTCCTGCTGCCGCATTTTTACGACGAAGGCTCTGCTCCAACCCCAATCCGACCAAACAGTCTGTCACAGCCCCTAGTTTGTTGTCTTCTCCTCCCTCTGCCTACGGTTTGCCGGGCAGTTCTCTATGACGATGTATAAATATACATCGTCAAACAGAGCTGCCCAGTAGACCATAGGCAGAGAGGGAGGGAGAAAAGGACAACAAACGAGGGGCTGTGACAAACTGTTTCGTCGGAGTTTCACCGACTGTCTGTAGAGTTTTCCATCTGGCGTGGGTGAGTGAGTCTACTTTGATTTTGGTTAAGGTAGATTATCATTTACAGTGTAATCAGTGAGGGGATTCCGCAGACTGTTGAGGGTTCAGCCTCCTGATGAGTCGGTGAAACTCCGAC